AAGCGTCGATATCCTTTGTAAGTTTTTGCTCTACTTCTTAGATCGATTCTGGTACGGTAAAAAAGATTAATGCGCCATTTTTAAATGGCCATATCTTGTCGCGAAGAAATCGGTGCACGCAACGCGTAGCGCACGCGAAAAGCTTGAGTGAGTACTTTCGACGAAACTTGGTTAGAAATGGATTTAAGCAAAAAGTAAGAGTCTCTTTGAAGGAAATGTAGAACAGAGCGGAATAACTTGGCGAAGAAAGTTGATTTTGTCAGGCAACATAACTCACTCGTTCGTGGAGCACACAACGTAACGGTAAAGTCGTTTTGAAAGCGTCTTACGATGACAAATCATAGCAACACTTGTGACATATCGACGCGATATTTGCAAGAGAGAGAGAGAGAGAGAGAGGAGAAGCGAGATATAGAAATCATATAAAGGCATAATTTCCTGAAAAGCTTGGCAAAGCATCGATATGGAAGGAAACGAAAAACCAGTTATGCCATCTGGGCCGCCGCGCGAAAAAGTCTCATTTTTTCGCAAACACGAACCATTAGACATTTATATCAATTCGAAACGTTTTTGCCTCGATATTCTAAATCATATTGATCTTTCCAAGAACAATGTTAAATCCGAAAGATGATTAAATTTTGCAGAACTTCCTCTCTTGATCTTTCATATCCTATCCAACTTCCTTCATTTTTCTTCCTCAGCTTTCACAACTTTTAAAAATCCAAGGAAAAATTGCCGATACCGTTAAACGGGTTTAACGTTGCCTTAGTGATCAAACGCTGTTCCAATAATAATCCATTACTGCCTAATAATCAAAACTACGACGTTCTATTATATTTTGAAAATCGAGTAGCGTTATTTCAAGCTACAACGTTTATACGACAGTGATGTAATATTATTTCTATGTAAAGAGCAAAAAAATTGAGCATGATTTGCCACTTTTAGTGTCACATTATTGACTGCCGTGCAGATAATAATGAGACTGAATTTTTTTTTCTTTTGTCATGAGACGTAAAGATTTGAAAGGATTTTTTATAGCTCGAAGCTTCGCTTCGGTGATTGTTCGCGATAAATTTGTGAAGATATATCTCCCTTTGAACGCGATTAAAAATCGCCAACTGTTAGAATTTATTCACGTGTTAAAATGTAATATCGTAATGGGGCGTTTTCGAGGAAGCCATGAGTTAGGATTTCAGAACGAACATCAGCCACGAATCAGGATTCCGGAACGAACATCAGCAAGGAGTGAGGAGGAAGAAAAGTTTTGTGGGAACGAGGTGCGAAGATCGAGGTAAAATAATAGGACAATGCACTCCGGCGACGAAGGATATATGAACGAATTCGCCGGCAAACGAACGGATAGGTGGACAGGTAAATGAACGAATGAACGCTGGATCAAATGGCTCGTAGACAAATAAATCGAAAAGAGGAAAGATAAACGTCGCTGCGCGAAATACGAGCGGGGGAGAAAGGGGAGGCAGGATGCTCCGACATTCCCAAACACAAAATGGCGCTTGGCGGAAGAGGACGATCCTCAATAGCGTTGACGAGTCGAGTCGACCGGCGGTTTTACCGTTACGCGACCCAATGACGAGAGATACGTTCGCCGACGAGAAACGTGGCTGCTTCCACCATTCGATGGTGCCTCGTGGCTGACAGTACGGTATAATGCGGACGTGTGCTCCGCGAATATTACCGCACGACGAAGTAGGTTCCACTTCGCACCTGAGAAGTCGTAAAAGGTCAAGAGATTTATTTCACTGAACGGTGAATTCGTCGAGAGAAATTTCTGATATAAAAATTTTTCCTAAAGATTCGTGGAAGAGAATTTAAATCTCCGTTACTCGCTCTCTTTCGCTCGACAATAAAATGACAAAATAAGATTGAGTTTATTAGATATATCTTTGTCTCTTTACTTTGAGACTGTACCTGGAGAAATTTTTATTTCTCGATCTTAGCGTTACTTTGTAATTCTGAAAACGCGTATTTCAGTGTTCCCATTTCGTTCGTTTATTAGCATCGATGTATTGAGTATTCTGTATTTTTATTCATGGGTGAATCCGAAAATTCTAGCTTGAATGATTAAGCTCGTGGGTGACGGGGCAGGGTAAGTCCGACAGGCAGATGTACAGACGAACCCCAACTGGCTCATAGAGTTATCTTTGAATATACGAAACCGTGAATATACGAAACAAGACACACACCGCAACATACGTCATAAGCTTCATTGTTGAATATCGTGAATTTCCTCTATGGGAGCAGTCGAATGAACAACATTCGTCACTTCCACTGAAACTTCGCCGTATGTCCCTTTTTCTTGTCGTACAAAGCCTGTGGTATACAGAAAAACTTAAACAGTAAGATATAAACAAATAGCTTGTTTTAGCGCCGAAACATTATATCGTGTCTCCTGCAGATAAGCAAATCAATATTTTGATACTACCTATTATTATGTTATTATTATATTCTCTACTATGATTGGTCGATTCGCTTATTACTTTTACACGGAAAGAACTAAGGTACTTATCTGCAAATTTAGCAGCTGATATTTTAGCAACGAGTTTCAGCGTCCTATATAATTGTTTTGATGGTCCAAACAAAATTATTTTCAAATTTTAGATACAAATTTGGACCATCAAAACAATTATATAGGACGCTCAACGTTGCTAGAATATCAAAACTTTTTACAGCATTATTTATTATACTTGAGATTCTTATGTAATTATTTCGATGATCCAAACAACATTATTTTCAAATATGTATACGTAATTACATTTTTAGATACTTCAGCAAAACCGTTCTTTTCCTGTACGTCTCGCTGTCTTACGTTTTTTCTGTGTATCATAGGTTTAAATGTCGAGTATAAATACATCGATTTATAAAAGGTGTTTAGTTAATTTTGTGGTTAACGGTGACTAACATCAGAAATTCATCATAAATATCGCGACGTTTGGTGGTCGCGACAGTGCGGTACTATTAGTTTTCAACGTCACCGCGCTGTGGTATTCGATTTTCGCAATGATTTGTGTCGACATTCGATGTTACGTTACGATAGGGAAACGTTATGATGCTGTGTCATGTGTGAAAATCGATTTTTATAATGATAAAACCGTCTGTATAACGTACGAAAAAATTATTGATATATCAGGAATATTTTAAATAATACGCATTCTCTCTCGATTAATTTTTTTGTCGACCGATTCAGAGACTATATTTCCACGAACAAATTGATAATACATAAGGAAAAAATGCATGATTTTATTTAAATTGGTTAATTGTACCATTAAATATTTATGGAAATGTTTGAAATGACCTTTCGGGTCGTTTAAAATAATTACGAATGGAATCATCAATGACATTTTTGAAACAACATCCTTTTTATTTTACGTCATTGTTCTCAATGATTAAATTTTTTAATTAAAACGAAATTCTACATATGCTTTCTTTTTAATTTATATAAAATATTACCGAAAATTCATATTCGGTAATTTTTGCCATTTACATCCACTGAATAAACGTAACGATGCGATGGAGAAGTGGATGGGAATGACGTGTTGTTTCTACCGCTTGGAAAACACACAAACAGCGTTGGAATGCTGATATTTTTTTTTTAATTTCTTCTGTAAAGATATAACAATCAAACTTCAACTTGCAAATACTTACGCACACGAAACAAACGTTATTTCAAAATAGGAGAAACGTTTAATAACTATTTGCACTGTTAAATTCACGTTTTGTAAAAATAAAAAAAACTTTTTTTTCTATGGTCACCGCTTTTGTATTATGATATTTTTCATCCTTTATTACAACATTGCAAATGTAACGCATATTGGTTATTCGTGTGTAAAAGCTTCATACGTAATAGATTTTTTATGAAATATATTTTAGTGCGTGAAATTTTAGAGAGAAAGAGAGAAATGGAACGAAAGAGAGAGAGAGAGAGAGAGAGAGAAACACAGAAACGAGCTCGTTCAATGCTCGTTGTCGAAGCACACGTTACAATGATGCTTCTCTATAGACACGTGCAGGGATTAAAGTTGAACGTATGCTATTGCAAATAGACGTGTTAATACCAAGTATTTTGAAGTTAAAAAAATTTTCTCAACCTTTCCGCGTTTCCGAAATTAATCTTTATCGTCATTCTTTGTTTTTCTTGTCATTCTTTGTTTTCCTCGTCATTCTTTTAATTAGGTAGTTTACGACGAAAACACGCGAGCGAAGGTAAACCAATTTCTCTGGAGAATTCCAACGTCCCGGATATTCTCTAACGGTACTGCTGCCGTCGTCGTAAAGACAGGAATTCACGCAGCTTGCAGTGCGACTAACCGTAGCTGGCGACGAATCGTTTTCGCCAGTTCATTATTTCGTAAATTCGCGACACGGCGCGAATGTCTGACGTCTTTCGGCGTCGCTAAATGCCAGCGTATCATTCTCTCACTTGCTTTAGTCATGCTCGGTACGCACGGGCTCGTCAACAATCAGTATTGTCAACGCTGGCGAAACGGCACGCAGCTTGGCATTAATTGCGTAAAGGGTGAACTCTCGGTGGGGGAGGCGGGAGAGTCGGTGAACCCAAAAACTAGGTTGATTCCTGACAGGCAATTTGTATTGCCATTATCACGGTCCCACGTAGTAGCGTTCGAACGCTGCTGCTCGCGCTCGCGAATTTATTCCATCTTAATGGAAAATGTGTGTACGAGCGAGGGTGTAAAGCACGACGATGAGAGGCCGATCGATTCTTACACATCCAGCGTCTCTCTTGCGGTCGATTTCCTCATCGGGTCACCGGGTTATCGGGTTACCACGACGCGGATCGATCGTCCGTTAATGCTGTCACCGCCTACAGTTATAATGCATAAAATATATTATGTATAAAGCGTACGTTAAAGAAAGATACACATTCATTTTTTTTTCTCGTTGAAAGTCTCGTTTTTGAAATACTAGTCGGTTTCGATGTGCCTGTTGTTGCTTTAACAAACAACAAACTCTTTTTGTTTCAGCACCTATCGGAGCGTACACCGACGAGACACAGATGGACACACATGAGGGCTCGACGGTGCAGTTGCAGTGCCGGTTCCCACCACCGCGGGAAAACGTCACGTGCTTTTGGCTAACCCACACGAATAACAACCTCGACAACGCGGCGATCGAGAACCGCTCGCTGTCGCCGAACTACAAGGTTTTCATGAACTTGCAGGAGGGTCGTTACGACCTGCAGATCAGGAACGTGTCCTACGAGCGCGACAACGGCAAGTATGAATGCAGGGTGAAGGTCAGTAGTACCGGCGTCGACCTCCACAGGAAGTACATTACCCTGACGGTGCTGAGAGCACCGGGTCAGCCGATGATATCGCCGACCTCCGCATTGGCCACGGAAGGCAAGATACTGGAGCTGGCGTGCAACACCACCGGTGGCAGCCCCGAGCCAGAAGTGAGATGGTACCGTGGCAGCAATACCACCCTCCTGCACACCGGCAAGACTCTGATAATCCAGCCTACGCGGGAGGATGATCGGGCAGTTTTCCGGTGCGTCGTGAGAAATCGAGCGATGCGCGAGGGTGAGACCCTGAACGCCTCGGTGACGCTCGACGTCAACTACTTCCCACGCGTCTCCGTTGGCCCAGAAAATCCGCTCAAGGTCGAGGTGAACGGCACCGCGATCCTCAAATGCCACGTAGATTCGAAGCCGAGGGTCAGCATGATACGCTGGTGGCGGGGCGGTGCTACGGGCGGGGCCTACGTCGCCACTAACTTCGAGCATGTGATACCTAAGGTGACGCTACAGGACTTTGGCACGTACAGCTGCCAGGCTGACAATGGGCTCGGTAGGTTCGTCGAGGCCCCTTTGATCCTGGACGTGCTCTATCCACCCACAGTGTCCATCGAGGGTGATACTGTCAGAGTAGCTGATGTGGAGGACAGTATAACCGTCCACTGCAACGTGTCTGCCAATCCGATGCCGTCCGTGATCGAATGGCTGCGGGATGGCCGACCAGAATTTAGGCAACCAGGTTCAATTCTGCGATTGACCCGTGTCACTTCGGAACACGCTGGTAACTATACCTGTCGCGCGGTGAACACGATTTATCCAACCGGCGGTGAACGCAGGAACCATTCAGCCTTTTCCACCGTTACGATCCGTGTGCGGCACAAACCCGGCCCGGCTAGAGTGACTCCGGATTCACCGGTCGCCGTCGAGGGTTCGCGGGTGATACTCACGTGCATGGCCAGTCCGGCTGGTTACCCCGAGCCGCAGTACAAATGGTGGAAGGTAGGCGAGGGTGGCTCGATTCAGGTGCCAGCACCATCCGGCCCGAAATACGAGATCGACTCGGTGCACCTCGGTAGCGAGGGCACCTACAAATGCTACGCCATCAACGAGATCGGCATCGGTGAGGCCGCGTCGGTAAATCTTACTGTTCACCAACCGCCGAAGATACTCACCAAGCTGCAGCCCCATGTCACGAGAAAGTAAGTAAAAAGGATCGTTTAGAATTTTTTCAATACAAGTAAAACACCTATGTGAGTCTCTGTAGTTGAAAAGCTACAATTCGTCACTAATTAGATTTTACTTAAAACCTAAACTACGAAGTTAAAGTAAACATTTTAACTCTGGATTAGAGTCCTCTTGAGTGTAGAAGTACAAACTACCATAGAATTTTCCTTTAAAAAAATCTCACTTTTCGAATCAATAAAAAATTTAATTTTTATTGAAAAAAATATTGCTGCATATTGCGACATGAATAATTATTGTTTGATTTTCAAACATTCCGACTCTTAAGCTTTTGAAAAACTTGAAAAGATTATTCTCTGAAATGAAGATTTTTATAAACATGTTTTTGCTACGCACTTTGGATGTTTCATTCTACATGCAACGAGAAATAACAATTTATTTTCCTGAACACAATTTGCTTTTTGCAAGACCGTGACGTATTTTCTTTATCCACTTTGTCCTTTAATCTTCAAGTCGTACAATAAATGTCGTTGATGCAATTGTAGAAAGTCTGTGGACTTTACGTTTCTTCTACTTACGCTTTTTTCTACATACTTCTTTCATGAACTATGTGCCACTCGGCGAAGTATAGTAAAGTCGTTTTGCAGGTAAAACAAGATATATCTTCCGTTCTAATAATCTAACGTTTTCTTGCTTATCGCAGAGTCGGCGAGTCGTCGTTCCAAGTATCCTGCGTAGCGCAGGGCAAACCGCGGCCTAGCGTGCGCTGGCTGAAGGACGATCAAGAATTAACGGCCGACGAGAGGCTCTACAAAGTAATTACGACGGCGTCGGAGGGCCATGGTAACGTAATAACCGTAAATTCCACGTTGAGTTTTCTGGGTCATGCTCGTCCGCAGACCGATGAAATCGTGGCGGGCGATCGCGGTAAATACACCTGCGTCTTTGTGAACGAGGTGAAGAAAGTCGAGTCTACGATGATGCTCAAGGTAGAGCACGAGCCCATAGTTCTCCATCAGCACGGCAAAGTGGCTTACAATCTCCGAGAGACCGCCGAGGTTGCCTGCAAGGTTCAAGCATGGCCAAAGCCCGAATTCCAGTGGAGTTTCGGTACCAACGCCGCGACTCTTCAGGGTTCCTCCAGCGACGGTCACTACGAGATTACTACCACTAGCGATAACTACGATGCGTATACATCCGTCCTAAGAATGACCAACATCCGCGAGTCCGATTACGGTGACTATACTTGCCGCGCCGCCAATGCTCAAGGCAGTGTCACGTCCACTATCAGATTGCAGCCTAAGGGAGCGCCAGAGAAACCAATCAACATCACCGCCATGGAGATCGGACCCACATACGTCACCCTTTTGTGGCAACTGGGTTTCGACGGTGGCCTGCCCATCACAAAGTACTTTGTTTCGTATAGAAGAGTGGCCGGTGGTGACGAAATAGTCGCACCAGACTGTGCGCCTCCTCGAGGACCGATCGGTCAATGGCTCGAGCTCGATTGTCGGCGATCGAACCCGTGCAACGTGTCCAATCTGGAGCAACATCAAACTTATACCTTCAAGGTGAAAGTCTATAACACCAAGAACCATTCCGATTATTCCGATGAAGTAACCGCCACCACGGCGGTAGCCAAAATACCCACACCGCTTAGAGTTAGCTTTGATCCGGAAAGTAGTACGCTTGCTATTAACGTGGGTGCCACATGTTTGGCGTTGGTAGCATCTATCGAGAAGTTTGACGGAGGCTCGGATAGTTCATGGCGTATCGTCGACGAGTGGCCCCTCGAAGTTCTCGGAAGTGCGCCTACTCAAAGAGAGGGAGTATTGGACGATCCCGAAGCGGCCGACTCGGAACCTCGACTGAGAGTTCGATTGTGTCTCAAAGCCGATCGGCAGAAATGTGGCGAATATGCTGAAGCCGAAAGTAAGTATTCTATTATTGTACAAGATAATTAAAGAGAAAAGAATTAATATTCATAAATTTATTTCAAAACTTATATAGTTTCTTAATTATTAGAAAATTGCATTGTTAATAAATTTTAGGATATAATAATTGATTTACATCAATGTTATATATTGATCAATTAAAATAATAATATTAATAAACTTAATAGAGTTAAGATCTCATCACATTAATTTCTTGAAAAAAATTATCTAATAACAAATAAAAATATATTTTAAGAAGTGTGCTAATACTAATTTAAGCCACGTTGAATAATTTCTACTGATGGAAGTTTCCATTAGACGAAGAATATTTTTCTTTTCGCAGTTTATACAAAATACAAACTTTTTAAATAATAAATTTTGAAAGCAGTTACATTTTTCAATTTAATGGACGTTTGCGCCAGTTTAACAGTTATATTTTCTCTAGCTTATTAATAATACAAAAATATTTTAAAAGTTAACAAGCCGTGTGTTTTAAAACGATAATAATTGAAACAAACAATTTCCATTATTTATTTTGTATAACACTAGAAAAATGTTGGATCGTTAAGAAATTTGGAACGGATTTATTTTAGAAATTTATATGTATTTTTGTCGAGAATTTTCGCTTATTCAAACATTCTTTTCTCGCAGTTGGACCATCCTACATTGCACAAGCTGGTTCTCTCGGAACGCCGACTTTAATCGCTCTGATAGTGAGCGGAGCAGTTTTTCTACTGTTCGCGGCCCTGTTGTTATTGTTTTGCCGATGCCGACGGAAACACGCGACGAAGGCGAAAGATTATGAAATGGACACGAACGCGTAAGTATTCGAAACTAATGCTCGTTGTAAGTGGAGAATAACTTAGACTAGGCAGTATGTCGCATCGCGTGGCTCGAGTGTGAAAAAAGGCAAGGCTCATAGAATTCTTTCCTTTATTTTGTAGCGTCCGGCCGAGCCTCGTAGCAGGTAATGGCCAGCAAAGCCAACCACCGCCACCGTATTATGCCGAGAACAAAGCGCTGGAACACAGCCTGGATCACGCCTTGGCTTTGGAAGATTCAAAGACGCCCGCTTATTCACAGTCTGGATACGGTTATCATCAACCCAATCACAATATCAACGGTAAATGTTGCAGAAAATAGTTTTCCCGCAAAAAATTTTTACGTTTGTAAAAACCTGTTAAAGGATGCTTTCCACAAGTATTGTTCTGCCTTTGTTACTTATGAAATACCAAGAAAGGTAGAACGATGTTTGTTTTGACTTGTGTCACTAAATGGAAAACCTCCAAAGTGTGTGCAAAAAAAAGACATAATACACATGTTTTCCTTTGATTTTTCCCCAGGTGTAAACATGGGCTACATGGACAACAGTTATTCGAATTCCAACAACGGCGGTTCCGTCAATTCGCAGGACTCCATATGGCAGATGAAATCCGCCGCTGCAAACGGCGTTAACCAGCCGTACGACCTTGCTGGATATGGTACCACGGAGTCCGATTACCCCACGCACCCTCATTATCTCCCGCAGCGAGAGGATTACAGGGAGAGCCATAATCTGAGTCGGCAGCAGTTCTGCACGGAGCCCTTCGCCACCGTCGTCAAGTCTCAGAAACACGTCGGTCGGTATTAGCCTTACGATCGTTTCACGTGACTCCCTCGTCCAGTTCGCCTAGCTTCTAATGACAGTCCCTATATTGCCGGTGTGCGTGCTAGGTTGCAGCGTTATAGATTATATCGTACGTTACATCGATCTTCTGCGGCTACACTACATTGTTTCGCGGTGCCTCCTCCACCTTCGGAGAGGCCTCGTTTCGTCCTTCCTCTTTCCCCGTTGCCCTCTTCTTCCGCAATCTCGTAATTCTACCTTCATATTAATCGTCTGCTATATCTCCGTACAGATTCGCCTTACGACGTGTCAGGTTTGCCGTACCAGGAGAATTACGACGAGGACACGAAGCCGCCGCAGCAGCCCAGCCTCTCGTACGACGAGAGCCTCGAGTCCGGCTATTCAACGCCGAACAGGCGTAGAATCATTCGGGAAATAATCGTTTGAGACCTGCCTACCGGCTCACGAGCCGGAAACACGCGTACCACCTGGCTATAGCAGAAGGCCCCCGTTTGCCATACGGTAACGCAACATCGTCCGCATCATCTCTATCACCGCCATCGCCATCGTCACCGTATGGAGATTGTCCTTGAGAATCCTTCCGCGCCGCCGATCGCGACGGCCGCGACGGCGACTTCGCAACTGGGTCTTCCGACGCACCACTTTCCGCATCGCGCAGCGTACGACGTAGGTTTAGGACATAGCCCGTCGTTGTTGCCCGCAGAGGACTATTACGCGAGGAATCGTCACGCGTTAACATCGTATAGCGGTCTAGACGGCGCACCGGCTTCGGTGACAGTCCGGCGAATCGACAAATCCGGATTGCTGGAGATCGCGGAGACGGATCCCGTCACGTATCCGCGTCCTTGCGTGCTCACTGGTGCGGAGGACGTGACAGCGCGCGGCCTATCGTTACGAGTCGATCGCTCGGGGCTTTTGGAGGCTGTTCCCGAAGCTGCCGATCAACCGGAGGAACACAACGGTGGCATGACGACGAAGCTGCTCGACGAGGCCGCAGGGGTGTCGCGAGGAGAAACGTTAAAGGTGGATGCCGATGTGAATCCTTGCGTGTTCGAAGATGGTTGTCTGCTGGAACGACCATCATCCTTGGAGGGACAAGCCTGTCCGGACGAGGTCGATGCGAGAGCCCGTTCTGCGGATTTCAAGGTGCTAAGTGGAAGCCCGCGAACTCAGCTCGACGTTTCCAAAGCCACGGAGAGGCTACCGCACTTGGCGTTCTCGCCCGGTCCTTCCTTACGTCATTTCCGAAACGATCCTTCGAAAAGGTCTCCGTTGACGACTCGTGACGTGGATTCGGCCCGCGATCTACGGAATCAAAGATCTCCGGATTTTGCCGCGACGTACACTGCCGCTGGTTCCGCTTCCAAAAAACCTGCCGATCCGCAGAGTCCAATTACACGCGAACGATCGCAGGTAGGATGCACAAAGAGCAACGTTGATCCAGCGTCAATCGACTCGGATGTTCCGGCGGTCAATACGATCAAAACATCTCACGAATCGTTGCTCGCGAGAGGAAGCGCGGTACAAAAGGACGATCCACCAGGAGAGGAGAGAGCCGAGGCGGAAGGATGCGAGCACACGACCGTCGAGAGTCTCGAAAAGGACGAGGTATCGTTCAAAGGGTCCAACAAACTTCTCGACAGTGACAATGTCCAGACGCTCAGAGTGATCATTCTGTCGGAACAATTGTGAAAGTGACCGTACTCGAGTGCAATGATTACATGCAGTGATATCATTATATGCGCGAGTGCTGCTGAATGAGCCAAGATTATTGGAGGACACCAGGGATATGGTCTCTACGAGGGAATTTACCAACTATCGACAAGGAGGGCAGTGTATCCTCGCCGTCTTTCCTCGTTCATTTAATTTATCAACTTTTGTCAACATCTGACTCTAAACAATTAAGACTGTCTACGAAATTTATTGTTTAAATTGTGTATTTTTGTTGAACATTAATCGCTATTTCGAACATTATGCGAAAAGTCGAATTTTGTCATTTAAAATTCATGTTCAGGCTCGTCTATTTAACTGTTCGAGATTGATTATTTTCTCGCTAAACGCTTTGAATTCGGCAATTTTATCAATATTTTACAATGTTGTTGATTCAGACAATTAACTGCCATTCCGAATTCAATGCGTTAATTGTTATCCGTTTAATTAGTCAATCTCGACGCGGCCCACGAGAACATTATCACAGAATGTTATTTTATAAAATGTTCACGATTACGTTGATTGCGGATATTTCTTTCTGTATTTTTATAGAAGACGCGCGGAACTTCTCGTGAGACTGCGTCCACGAGCGTTCTCCGAATACGATGTTAAAGTATCGGGACACATCAATTTCCGGCCGCTCACGCGAGAAAAGACGTCGTAAGTATAAACGGGAAGATATATTTCAAGAATGAGGTCAGGTCGGACGGAGAATCTCGCGAGTTCAATCTTCAATGACGCGCAGAAGCTGTCTGACTACCGCCTATCAGTGAAGACTCGATGCGGCGTTCGATGTATTTTATACTTTTATATACACAAGTGTGAGAGGATGACGCGCTGTCTTTTCGAACGACAAGAGATTGCGGTTTACCGCGCCGATCGGTTTTATTATATAAATGTATCATTCGCGGAGCGATTAACGCTGCCGGTTTTGTAAGTACTAGGCGTAACGTTTATAAGTAAGAGATGTATTCTTTCGCGAAAAAGTTTTTTTTTTCATCGAGATCGGCCGCGTCGTGCAGGACCATCGGGCTGAAATCGGCGAGACGATCATTTCGACGTTATCTACCTTGTGACGGAACAACCCGGACAATTAGAACAGTCTAAGCCGAACATCTGAGAGATGTCTTGGACTGTCACATTGTCTGAGAGAAAAGTTTTGGTATTTGTGACTATAATTGCATAAAAGTAAAATAATTACGATTAGGAGCGAATTTTGTAGTTATTACTGCTATATAATGTTCTTATTATGTTTATAATACAATAATAATTATAATAGTAAATATAAATAATTTATAATTCTATATACTAAAAAGAATATATAGTTGTCCCTAAAATCGATTATAATTTATAAATTTTGTTTATAACATTTATATTATAAATTATAATCAGCATTATATTTTTTAGTATATACAATTATAAATAGAATAATTATTACTGACATTGCAACAGCAATAATAATTATAAAAAACGTGCTTTTAATTTTAATATTTTTTTATCATGTAATTATAGTTATAACTTTATAAGTACCAAAAATTTTTTTCTTACAATTAGTGATGGTGACGGCGCATTGAATGTTTATCACGCAATTGTAAATAATCGAGCGAGTTCCCTGAGGTACTTGACACAAACGTAAGATGCTGTAATGCTCTATGATAATTATATTCGCGCCGCTCCACGAGTCACGAGTTGGACGCGACGAACTCAGACGAGGAGCCGAAACAAAGTCTCGATGACAACGAATTTCGCTGTTTCAGCCCGCGACACTTCGGACTAACGATACACACTAGATGACACTTTTTTTTACGTTCGTGCAAATTCTACGCGTCACTTCGTTTTATGGTTGTACGCGACGTGTAGATGTTATGTGCGCGGCGCCTTTTGTTGAATTTTTATCCCCTTCCTTCCCCTATCTTTTTCCTTTCATTTATACATACATATATATCTTTTTTTTATTTTTGTATCGTCGATCGAACGCGCCGGCAAAGTTTCGTTTCCCTTCGCTTGCGCAGCACACGTGAAAATATAACAGAACGGAGCACAACGCATTTTACTGACAACCGTATTAGGATGATCGATTGTGACATCGTATTACGTGTCGGTATATGTTCCACTTTCTGTCGTACACTTTTACGAAATACTCTGTAGCGTGATAGATTGTAAAACGACCGTCTCGGTCACGCGTTTTCACCCTTGGACAAAATTAAAGACACTACATCAGAGTCTATCCACGAGCGATTTTGTTAAAAAAATATTGTTAAAGAGAGAAAAGCAGGATTGGGAACAATACTTTATAAAAATAACACGTTATCATTACCGTTATTTGGAAAGTAACGAAGCGTTACTTTTTTCGTTACTTTTTTGTATTGTTAAAGTAAGATATTAGATTTAAAAATTACGTTATTTAATAATATTAATTATGAAATCAATATTTTTTAAAACTTAAAAATTCTAAGCTAGTCTCTATATAACAAGCTTTTCTTTATACTAAATTTATATTTAGTAAATCTTCAATAATTTTTTATATTAATATTTTTATTTTTTTTATATGCTTAGCTTTAGGAAATTAGATGTAATTTACAAACATAGATTTTATTAAAATTTGTATTAAACATTGTTTCTAAACGTTAATGTTGTTATTGGGAGTGCATTTCAATATTCACTGTCGATACTGAAAATTTATGGTTTACGTTACATCACGTTATATATTACAGATTTTCAATATTGGCAGTGACTACCGGAATGTAGTCTAAGAAATAAAGTACAAACATTTTTCGATATTTAAATTTCTATCATAAAATATTTCTAGCCAATTAACACTAATGCGATTTAATAAATAGTTATAAAAATAATAAGAAATGAAACTAACGATAAAAGCAACACTGAATTCGTTACTGTTGCTGTAATATAACGACATTACTGTTATTATATTACAGACAGAAAATAACGAAATGGTAACGATGTTATTTTCCAGTTTTGGGGAAAGGTATATACAGGATTGGCAAACGTTACTTTTCAGTTACTTTGTCGTTACTTTTTATAGTAAACAATTTGATGACAATGTTGCATTTTTTTATAACGCTAACTAACTAAACGCTATGGTTGTACTAAGAAAAATCACTTTGAAAAGTAATTTGTTATTATTACGCGTTACACTGAAAAAGTTATAAGTATAACGAGTAACGCGTAACGTTACGCGTAAAAAGTAACGCGTTACAAATTAGGAGTTATTTTTTTCAGTAACAACTTTTCTAACTCTGACGTTAGCATTACCATAAAAAATTCACGATGTCATTACCAAATCGTTATTATAACAAGGTAACGATCAACAAAGTAACGTGTTACTTGCTAACCCTGGGTACATATATATACTTTCTCCTTGTGTATATACCATCTCATTCTAATTACACTGCCTTTATACACTGTTAAATATCAAAAGAGTAATGGTAACCCAATCTCTTGAATTAAATAAAATTTGATAATTTTAATGTGTAATTTTGTCAAAATCCTACGAGAAAAAAAGGTATATATACTTTCTCCTTATATATATATATATATACACGCAATTTTACTCGAATTTATATTGTCTTATTCTATACACTGTTAAATATCAAAGCAGCAATGGTAATCCAATCTCTTGGATGAATTAAATAACATGTTTTTTAACTTTAACGTACATATGTGTTAAAAATGTAAATCAATCCATTTCTGTTGAATTGATTT